CTAAATGTGTTATCATTTTCACCACAAATTAACAGTTTCTATGTAAATATTGGTATTTCCTCACCCCATGAAGGCGAGAGGCGGCGAATGGCACCGGCGCGTTTGATTTAAACTAATTAAAAGCAGAGGGTCACGCAATTCAATATATTGATTTTACCAGTGGGACTTAAATCTTTTATAATAAGTGTACACAGCTGCAGGCCTCTCCCACCACCACGCTTTAAAGGCTAATCCTCGCATTCCTTCTGACAATCCATGACAGGTCCCACACAGCCCCGCCCGTGCCCTCACCCCCGGTGACAGGGCCGGAGTGCATTGAGGCGAAACAGTTGCAGCAACTTGCAAAAGGAAAAAAACAAAAAAACAAAAAAACAAAAAAAACCCAGAATTGTGTCACCAGCCCCCGGCGAGGTCTAAAGAGCGACTGCAGAGAAATGAACGTGGAGCCGTTTGGTGCAAAGGCCTCCCCCTTCAAAGTGCTCAGCTGGTGCAGCGGGTGGGCAGGGTGCGGCGGGGTGGGGCCCGGGGGAGGGTTAGGACACTCTGCGTCTTGCAGTGGGCCAAATATGACCTTACCCAACAGGGGGAGGAATATTCAAGTGATAGGGGCGATCAATCAGCCTAGAGGGGACTCTCCCTGGAATGAAGTCATCACTTGACTCCGACTGCAGCGGCCACGTGACTTTGGCTCCCGTCGCAGGCACGCCGGTGCTCGGGGATCGCACTCCAGCTGTGTTTCTCTGTGCGGCGGCGCAAGGCCCCGGACCGGCAGCGCGCCGGAGCGGCAGCCCGGAAGCGGCTGCTTCTCTCCGTGCGTCCAGGGCGCGTCGTCCCTTCGCCGCCACCCCTGAAATCGATTCGTATCTGGGCCGCCTCCCTTACCCTTCCGATGGGCCACTCCCCAACCAAATGACAAGCCTGGAATAAAGACTCAAAATAGCCACTCGAGCTGGCACCCAGGGCTCAGCCTTAACCTGCTCTCTGGTTCCAGGAGAGAAATTCAAAGAAGATCCAAAAAGTTCAAATCTAGGTCACATAATATCCTTTGGAGAGGGCGGTGGTGGGTGGTGGCGGTGGCGGTGTGAGGGGGAGATCTTTGATTTATAGAAGCAGGAGAACGAGGTTTAAGGGGAGCGATGCGGAAAGGGTTACTGAGCACACCGCCGCTGGCGAGCTCCTGCGGCGAGGGCGCGCGGCGCGGCAGGGAGAGGGAGAAGGGACACAGCCTGTGTGACATCTGCATTAACCTCTGGCTGCTCACCAGTGAGGGCCGCGCTCCACGCCCTGGAATGCGGGGCGGCCCTTCCAAATCTTAACACAAGCCAGGTTACAGCTGCAGATGCCTGCGGCCCGTGCTCCCTTCCCGGAGCACTCCCTGAAGGAAGTTTTTTAAACTGTAACAGAATCTTTCTCTAATACTCTACAGTGGTAGGGCCTGTTCGGAAGGGGCAAAAGGAGAGATCTTAATGCCAAACACTTGTCAGCAAAAAAAGGGGTCGCCAGATGGTACAAAGGAGAAGTCAAGCAGCACGAGCCCTCGCCCCTCCTCCGCTGCATCCACAAAAGCCACTTTTATACGCGGAGCCCGATAATGATAGGTTTCCAACTTTCTCTCTCTCTCTCTCTTTTTTTTAATTTAGCTTCGAAGATTAAACAAAGTGGGTTCCTCCAGAGCCTGAACTGGAGATAAACATGCATTGCACATGCTGGCAGGCTTCTTTTGCCGGATTTCTCCAAAGAAAGAATGGTGGGGGGTGGCGGGGGGCGGCGGGGGGGGGGTAGGATTTCTGGATTCCGGCGGCAGAATTCACGTTGCTTGGGGACTATTGAAGAGGAGGTAGCCTGTTTCGAATTCCAAAAATTAAGCCTGCACAGGGGAGCCCGGGGCATGTTAATCCAAACCAGTTTACAAGTCCCGCCTTTGAACTCCGAGGGCTCAGGTTGGGACGATGGGAGGGTCCGTCCGGCATCTCCGGCGGAGTCCCCCCGGGCTTCCCTGAGCAGGCCGGTCTTTGTCCTAAGGTGCGGCCTGAAGTCCTCTCTCCCAGCACCTGGTTTTGTCATAAATGCTCCTCTGGTTCCCTCTCCAGTGCGGATCCCACTCGGCCTGGCAAAAAGCTTGAATTCCGAGGACTTATAGGAACAAAACCCAGTCTGGCTGCAGACAGAAGGAAGAACACAGGCACCAGGTCTGCAAAAGCCTTCAGAACCCGGGCAGAGGTCTCCTGAGCCCTGCAGGACAGCACGGCATGCGGTGATGGGAGGAGGGTCCGCCTCCCCCTCCCCTTCCCCCTCCCCCCCACAAGATCTCCATCAACAGCCCCCCCAGAATCCCCCCAGGCCCCCTACATGATAACAAGCAATGGTTTGATATGGACAAGTGACATTTTCTCACTCTTAGGTAAAGTGTGAGACTAAACACACCTTTAGAAAACTTGCTACGTTACAGATCAATGATTTGCAACCCAAGGAAAAAGTGAGTGTTTTCTCAGCAAACTCAACTTCCAAGCAAGTTTCCTGCACGCACCACCCCCCCCACAACACACACACACACACACACACACCCCTGCCCGCACCTCCAGCCTCCCCCAAGCCCCTCCTGGGGAGAAATTCCAGGACCACAGCAGATTGGAAGGGACAGGCAGTTTATCCCCTTGCTGAGCAGAAACAGGTCAAGCTTAGAAGCCGCTACAGAAGAGTCCTGCCAAACTGCACTCCAGGTTTTCACCCCACTAATCACCTCGCGTTTTGGGGGCAGAGAAAGAAAGAAAACAAGGTCAGCGCGCGCTGTGAAAAAAAGCCGCTCTGCCTTCTAATTTGGAGGGATGTGCCAGAAAGCAGGACCCGAGAAAGTCAGGGCTGTCCCACAAAGCCCGGAGCCAGCCCAGCTGATTAAGAGGCTCAGACAAGCCCGTCTTTGTCCTTTCAAGATGAAAGCAATGGAACTAACGGGGTTGAAAGGTGTGTGTACAGCCAGGGGAGGAAAACCACCCGGCTGTGGCCTTCCCAGACAAGTTCTAGCTTGCTCCCCCACCATCAAGGGGAACAAACAGCCATGCCCCAAGATCCCCAGGGGCACCCACTTGGCAACCCAGTCCTTCTCCAGGGGAAGGGGGGTGGGGCGCCTGGGTCTGGCCCCGCTACTGGTCCCCAAGCAGCAGGGTACTTTGTGCATGGAATTTGCAAAGCCAGGGCTTACAAATACCTTTTTAATGACCCCAGCCAGGCTCCGAAGGCAGCCACCGCGACCTGCTTGCATCCGCCGGGAGCCATGGGTACCCAGGCCAACGGCGGGGCCGTAAACCCTGGCCAGAGGAAGGGCCCTGGTTCACCCTCAGCCTCCGAACAGAAACAGGGGTCTGCTTTAATTTACCTATTTCTAGGCAGTTGGGATTTTTTTTTCTTTAGTTTCTGGTATAGGTCGTAAATACACATCGTTAGAGAAAAAGCCACACGGACCAAAGTGCAGATGATGAAAGATCAGACCCCGAGCTCCCATTCCCTAAGCACCCCCCAGCCCCAGTCCCAGCCCCAGCCCCAGCCCCGCCCCTCTCCCCGGGAAAACCTATTTCCAGGTCCTGGGGTCTTCTCCCCGTGGGAAGGGGCGATGCACCAGCACACAGAACCTCACTGATCTGCACCTTGCTTTCCCCCACCTCATACATCTTGGAGATTGCCCTCAGTCAGGACATATGGGGAGCTGCATCATTCTCACAGGCTGCTTAGTATCAGTTAAACTTTCTCGAAGTTCCTTAGACCTCTAAGCCTCCCACCCCTTGCTCGCTGAAGCTCATTTCACTATTGGATTGTTTGGCTGTTATTAAGGACAGACAATGGCATCTCGGGCACTGCAGGGACCTTATCTGGAGCCGGAAGCATGGAGGTGGATCACGGCTTCCCCGCGCCCTCCATCCAGGCCCGCAGTGCCCGGTGGGAGGCTTGGGGATCATTGTTTCCGTGTTGACACAGCGCCCGTGGGCGTTGAGTTGGCTGTCCTGACTCCGTTCGGATTTTCGCAGCAAGTTACACGTGTAGAAGGAAAGCGGCTCAGGACACAGCGCTATCGGGGCGTGTTATCTCGGAAACCAAATATTTGGTCATCGGCCCTACACAGCGCTGCCGGGGGTGAGCTGGAGCAAGTCTGGTGAGTGTGCGTGCAGGGATGGAGGAGGCGGCGGCGCCCCCTCCGCCGCCCCAGCCTCGCGTCTCCCGGGCCGTCGCGGCTCCAGTCCCGAGCCGGGTCCCCCAGCCGCCCCCGGTGGCGTCTGCTCGCAGATCCCGCGCCACCCAATCGCCAAAAGCCGTGGTTTGCACGCCACATGTGATAAACGCTGAAAATGGATTCTGCCCGCCCGGGACCTATCATTAAATATTTAAAATAGAAAGCTCGCAATGGCAACGTTTCTTCCCCAGCGCCAGCCAGCCAGGAGAGCTCAGAGCGAGGGGGCGCCCGGCGGCCAGGAGAGGGGCCCCGAGGCGCTCCGGGCGCACGGCAAGCTCGGGCGGGCGCTTCGAGAGCGGACAGGTAGGGCTCACCAGGTGGGGGATGGGGAGCGGCGCCCGCAACGCCAGGGCCAGGCAGGGCCGAGAGGGGCCCAGAAAGGGCGGGAAGGCAGTTTCGCCGAGCAGGGCCCTTTAAATCCAGGTGGAGCGGACGCCGCGGCAGGGCACAGCTCACATGACCAAGTTCCGCGCTTTGAACTGAGCCGCGGCCCGCCTGGCGTCTCCAGCTCCAGAGGTGCGGCAGCCAACTTAGCCCGGAGGGGCCTTCAGACCAGAATTCCCTCCCCCAAACTCCCACAGGCAAATGAGCCTGGCTCGCTCTACCTGGGGTGCGCACAACGTGGGGTCCACTAGGACCCTGGGGTAGGGGAGCCTTGGCCAGGTGCTGCTGGCGAAAACGGCCAGAGTGGGCTGGATGTGAGAGGTGGCCCCCTCCTCCCCGTTCCAAAGCGCCTTCCGAGCGAGACGGTCACCCCCGCCCTCCTGCCCTCACTCACCGAGGTTGACGAAGCTCATGACCATGTCCGCGTCGGTGAGGAAGTGGCTATCTTGCAGGCTGGCCAGAGGGGGGCCCTGGGTGCTGAAGACCGCCTTGTAGGGGTAGGAGAAGCCCTGGCCGTCGGGTCCGCCGCCCTCCTCCACCGCCATGGCATTGTACAGGTCCAGCATGAACATGGGCGCCGAGTTGTGCTTGCCCTGGAGGTGGGGGCGCGGGCGGTGGGGCAAGCCCAAGATGGAGAGGATCTCGCGCTGCATCTCCCGCCGCTCCTGGCTGCGGAGGCTCCGGTGGATGAAGCTCGAGTGCACCTCGTTGTCCAGGCTGAAGTCGGCCAGGGCGGAGCGCAGCAGGAACAGGGGCGCCCAGAGCGCCACGAAGCTGTGGGGCGCCGCGGCGAGCGGGGAGCGCACGTGCATCGCGCCGGCTCTACGCGCCACCCGGGCTCTGGGCACCCGGGACCGGGGCCCGCGCCGCCCCAGGTGGCGAGGGGGACAGGCAGCGGTCCACGCCGCTAGGTCACTTGCAGCAGATGGGCCCCGCGGCGCCCGCGCCGGACATGGCCCCTCCCGGGCCCGCTGCTCTCTGCCGGGACCCCCCCTTCCGGCTCGGTTCTGGCCAGGGGGCCCCTCGCCCCGCACTGGTCCGGGCGCACCGCTGGGCTTGGAAACCCGCTCGAAAGAGCGAGCGAGCGAGCAAGAAGGCGGACGCGGGTGGGAGGAGCAGCCAGCAAACCTAGGAGCCGGGCGAGCGCGCGCCGGGGAGGCAGCGAGGCGGCGGCGGGAGGGCGCTTCTTCTGCTCGCTGCTCTCGCGCTCCGGCCCTCGGGCGGCGGCGGCGAACCACCCTCTTCTGAACTCCCGCGCCGAGAGCTGGGACCCCGGGTCGCTCTCCAGGGCCTGCGCGCCCTGGATCGCACGAGAGGCCGCCACGGGAGCGCCAGAGTGGTGCGCGCTGGGGCCGGGGAGGAGGAGGAAGAGGAGGAGGAGGACGGACTTCCAGGGGCCCCTCCCGCGCCCGCGGCCTCCCACCTGCCCTCGGCCCCGCCCTCCCCCTAGCTGCGCCCAATGGGTTCATTCATTCCTTAGAGCGAGCTCCGCAAATATTTGTCAAGTGCCCACGGGGTGCCCAGCGCCTGGCCGGCCGCCGCGGGGGTGCGGAGGGAGGAATCCGTGGCGGCCTCCCCTCCCTTCCCCGGACTGGCAGTGCGGACCGGGAAGGAGGCCAGAGCGCGACCCTGGAGATTCGGCCGCGGTGGGGGAAGCTGGGGACTGTGTAAGGTGCGCGGGAACCTAAGGCTTCCCGAAGGAGGCGACCCCCGCCCCTCTCGACGCTCTGCCCGCCTTTGCCCCAGCCGCTGTGACCCCTCGGCGCCTTCCCAACTCCTCACCCGCGTGTCTCTTTGCACGTGCCATTCTCTCTGCCCGGAACCCTCCCCCCTCCACGGATCCCTCCCCCACCGCCTCCATCAGCGCTTAGGCTGACCGACCCTCCCCCAGCCCAAGGCGCCACTCAGGTGCCCCTTCCTCCGGGAGGCCTTCCCAGACCGGCACCGCTGGAGTCACTGCTCTGCCTCATTCCCACACACACTTGCTTTATTTTCTGTAACTCCTCTCCCTGTCTGCAATGACTGTCTGCGCTCGTCTTGCTTTCCTTGTCGCCTTGTCTCCCTCACTGGAAAGGGACCGCTGGGGCCAGGGGGGTGGGGGTGGGGGGGGGGAGAAGCCAAGCTGGTGCTTTTCTTGGTTGCCCTGGACCCGCCATGACTTGAACTTAGGGCCTGGCGGCCACGGTGGCTGCACAATCAGTTGTTTAATACACAAACGAAAGCGTGGAAGCTGGAGAATTCCTCCCCGGCTCCTCCCCCTTGGGGCTCTGTTTATTTCCAGCCACACCTCCGCCTGAGACCAGAGACTGGCGCCCATGGCTCTCTGACCTTCCCCACCAGCCCCTGCCCGGCGCCCAGTGTGCACCCAGTGCACCTCGGAGGGTCTGTGTCTGGGGCCTCACTGGGCAGACGGCCGCTCCGGGCCTCCCCTCTTCCCTCCGCTCGCTTGTTCATCCCACTCACAACGGTGAACCACCCGCCCGGACGGAGCCCAGTGCGCACCGGACCTGGGCACCGGCCCCCCCCCCAGAGCTCCGAGCCTGCGGGGGGCCTTAAGTGAGTTGCTGCTGCCCTGAGCCTTAGTCCCTTTATCTGCATACATGCGACTGACATAACTCCTTGCCCAGGTGGCAGCGAGAACGGTGGCATGAACGTTCAGCTGTGCCTCCTCCCGTTGTGGGGCCGCCCTGCCCCACGGAAGCTAGCCCACAGCCAGGTTCGCATGGGAGGTGCGGGGCAGGGTGTCAGCTCCGGGCCTTTGAAGGGCTGGATGGGGGGCTGGGGTCCCCTTGGGGACCGGGTGTGGCTAAGCCTCACCCGCAGAGGAGCCCGGTCTCCTAGCTTTCCTGGAGCAGAGGTGGTTCTGCCAGGCACCCCTTGGGGGCTTTGGGGAAGGGTGGCAGCCTGAGGGTCCCCAGGGGAGCCCAAAAGCCAGGCAAGGAGAAGAGAATGCAAGGCCTCGCGTGCAGGTCCTCGCCATTCAGATCTTGTAGGCAGGCCCCGCATCCAGCGCCCGGCTGGGGCTGGGCTTCTGCCCACCTGCCTGTCACTCAAAGCGCTGGGGAAGCGCCCTCCACCTGCCCTTCATCCACTAACTCCTTCCCTCAGCAAAGGTTTGTTGAGCGCTCGCTGGGCGTCCGGCAGGGCAGGCCTCAGGAGTGTGCCACCAATGTGGGTGGCCAGGCCCCCTCCCTCACAAGGACCCCACACTTGGCTTGGTGCCCCGCTGTTGCCTTGTTACATTTATTAATGACCTATGCAGAAAGGGCCCCCGTTCTCATTTTGTGCTGCACCCCGAGAATCGCGTGGTGTATGCGGGTGCCGGGCACAGTGCCGGGCCGGAGGGCAGAGCAGTGGGTGAGCCCACACGGTGGCCGCCCACATGAAGCTGGCTTTCAGTCCAGGGAGCAAAGCGAGATCCTTGCGTGCAGTGTGGGGTAGGAGGAGAGGCTGTGGTTCTGTGTGGATCTTCTCAGGCAAGGCCACGGCGTGCTCGACTGCCGGAACCAGGGGAGCGGGGCATGCAGGAGGGTCGGGGGAGCGGCCAGGGGCAGGCGCTGTGGATGACGGGAAACTGACACGGGCTACCGAGGCGGGCGGAGGAGTGCTGACCGGCGCCCAGTGTCCACTGGAGAGTGTGCACCCCAGACCGGGTCAGCCTGTGACAAGGGACGGGACAAGATGACCCGGTGACGTGGTGGGAGGCAGGAACAGGATCTCCTGGAAGAGGTGCCATTGACCTGAGTCCCGGGCGGAGGGCAAAGAGGAGGCTCTCCCTGGGAGGATGGCAGGCAGCGAGTGCCCTGCAGGGTGGGCAGTGGGAACCCGGCTGCCCATGCCCCCCCCTCCGCCGCATGCGGGCCTTCCTGCCAGGGGCCAAGCCTCTGCACGGCCCTGCCGCCTCCAATGCCAGCTGGGACGAAGGCGCTCGCTCTTTCCAAAGCTAAAATGCTACTCCTGTGAGTTCTAATCCACTCCCAGATCTTTTGGGGAGATTTTACCCAGCAAGTAAGGCTGGGGTGAGGGACCACCCCAACTTGCACATGACAACTGATTGGTCAGCCTCTGTGCGGCCCGCCCCGCTCCAGCCATGGGAAGGCCCTGCAGGAAGGCTTACGGGCTACCCCTCTGCGCGTCTCACCTGAGCCCCCCTGAGCCCGGCATACAGCCGGTGCTTGGGAAGTACCTGCTGAATGACTAGTAGTGAGCACAGCTCATCTTAGGAGCCCGGCGGACTGCCCCCAGGTCAGGCGCCTCCCAGACCCCTTGCCCGGCCCCCCTTGCTCTGGGAGGCCATCTTCTCTCAGGCGGGACGCAAACAGGACAGGCTCTCCACATCCAAGAGATAAGGTTCCCTCTGAGCTCCCACAGCCCCCGATTTGACCTTATCTTTCCTATGGTTCATGCCGGGAAGGGGGGGGGCTCTTTATTTCCCCTGCCTTCTCCCCCAGGGGAGACCCCCAGGCGGCACCAGGCCCTCGGTGAATGCTTGCTGAATGAGTGAGTGAATGAATGAGTGAGTGAATGCAAGCAGGCAGGCGGTAAGTATCTGGCCGGGATTTCATCGGGTGCTGTCTCAGAGCGGAGGCCACCAGCAAAGGCTCCGTGACTGTTTGGAGAAAGTCTTGGGTGGGAGGCAGCAGCCCACCTCGCACACTCCAGCCTCGCCACTTGCAATTGTGTACCAAGGGTTCAACCTCTCCATGCCTCAGCTCCCCCATCTGCACCCTGGGGGCCTCAGCTCCCCCATCTGCACCCTGGGGGCCTCAGCTCCCCGATCTGTACCACGGGGGCCCAAGCCTGTGCCCTCGGGTTGCCATGAGGATTCACGTGAAGGACTTCGCAAGGTGCCTGGGGCCCAGAGAAAGCGCTGGGTAAACTGCTAGCTGCCATCTGGAGGAAGAGAAAAACGTGTTCACAGGAAAGCCTCCTGAGTTCACCAACAACAACACAAGCCTGAGGACGGTCTGCGTTTTGGCCGAACAGATGAGCCCTTTCATCCCGGCTCAGAGACCCAGCCCGGGAAGCAGCAGCGAGAGGGCAGAGTGGCAGAGTGGCTCAGAGGTGAAAGGCAAACCCCTGCATTCTGTCCTCTCATTGTGTGCCCCCCCCAGCCTGTCCCCCCAAGCTCTCCAGGGCCCAGGAACTCCCCAGGGGCCTATCCCGTTTCCCCCAGCAGCCAGCCTCCCGCCCACCCACCCCTGGGCGGGGTTCCCCGGGCACAGGCAGGCACCCATCCCCGGACTCCCAGGCCGTAACCCGATCTGCCAGTCTGCTCCGCACCTGGGCCCGCTCCCCTGGATGAAAGACGGCCTGGAAATGGGAGGGTGTTATTGTGTCTGGCCCGCCCGGCTGAGGGCCCGCACCCCTCGCTCGCCTGCCCGCGCGGGGCGAGGGGTTTTCATTGCATACGCCATCGGTCACGTCGTGCCGCGGCGATTTTGACCAAGTCAGCACACGTCTCCAAGGCAGTAAGAAGAGAAGAGGACTGTGCTGACACACATGTTCAGCGGGAGGTAGGGACCTCGTCTTCCTCCGCCAAGCCCCTCTGCCGTCTGCCCGGAGGAAGCTCAGCCCGCCTGGGGCTCCCGGGGGGGCACGGTGCCCGGCCCTGGGGGCTTGAGGGCTGTGCCCTCCATCTACCCACCTGGCCAAGGCAGGCCCGGTGACCTGGGCCCCAGACCCCAGCAGGGAAGAGGAGGCCAAGGGCTTCCTCGAGCACAGACTTTAAAATCCTCGTCTGCAAAGAGGTCCGCCACCCCGGAGAGGAAACCGTTGGAGCACACCTGTGAGGAAATGTCATTTTCCCAGCAGCTCTTTTGTTGCGCTGGAGGCAGGCTCCATGTGGGCTCACTCGGGGGGCTTTCCCTGCGCAGTCCAGAAGCAGAGCAGCGAGACACCCAACGGCTTCTATCTGCCTCAAGCACGCAGGGCAGCGGCCACAGCTCTGAGTGGGAAACACAGACAGACACACACACACTCCGGGGCAAGCCCACGGCCGCCAAGGCGGGCTTTCCCGGGTCTCCCAGACAGCCAAGGGGAAGCTGCGGTTTTGTTTATTACTGTTATTCCTTCCTTGGCGGGAGGAAATCTGGTTTGGTTTTGAGCGTTACTCCTCCTGCTCCGGCTTCGGCGGGAGCCCTCTCCGTCTCCCCGGACGGGCGCAGAGCGGCTGACGAAAGTCCGAAGCCTTTCCCGCCCACCAGCCACGAGCCCCTGCGCCACCCGCTCGGACCCCGGAGAAGGAGACAGAAGTCGCACACGGCTTGTGTGTGGGGACACCATCGCCCAAAGTCACATCGGCCGCCGCAGCCCAGGCTCTTCACCACCGCCGGTTTAGGGGTCTGGGGGAAGGTCTCC